CCACTCCAAACCGAGTGCAGCAGAGTTCATTTGTGGCTTACTGGTTGACCGGAAACCGTAGGAACTTTGAACTTGTAAAGTGTAATCAGTTGAAAAAAAAGGCTAGGCCAAAATTATAGAACTAAATAATAATGCTAACAGATGGCAGAGACATGTCTGGAACTGGCTAATATTGATAAAAAACCAACAGCTAACATGAGCTATTTGCTTTAGGGCAGAATGAATGTTTTTTTCCTTCTTTTTTTGTCTGAAGAACTTGAATGCTGGGTTTTGGTGGGGTTTTTTACATCCAAGTTTCTAAATGAGACTGTTGGTGAATGCTATCATTCCTGGTGACTTATTGGTACTAATTTGTCTGCTTTATCCGATTTTCCATATATTTCTTTCAAACCAATCTGGTTCCTCTGACCTCTCTGCTTTAAAGAATGCATTGTGCGTGGTGGGAATTTCATTAAAGTCTTCACTCCTTAAAACTGACCCAAAGAACTCACTGAAGGCCTTTGCTATGGTCTGTAATGCCCAGGTTCCCTCTTTACACCTCTATTATTAAGCAGTTGCCCTAATTCCATATTTGGTGTCATGGTTTTGATTTATTCAAAACTTTCTACTATCACTTTTAGCATATTTTGCAGTGAGGTCATTAAAAAATCTTTATCAGCCATCTTCATTTCCTGTTTAATCTGGCTTTCTTGATCTTGCCCATTTGAGTAAACTTGATTTCTTAAATATTGACCTTTTCCCTATTACAGTGTACTCTATTTCTGTACTGATTCATGGAAGGGTGTTTCTTTGGGGTTTGGTTTTGGTTTTTTTTTTTTTTTTTTTTGGGGGGGTGTTAGTGTTCTTTCATTTGGTTTTGGGTTGGGTTTTGGGGGGGTTTTGGGGGTTTGGTTGTTCTGATTGTGGCATTCATTTTACCTGGATATCTAATGCAATGTTTTTAAATATTCTTCTGGATCCTTATGACAGACTTGCTTTTTGAGATGTTTCTTCTAGGTTTTTTTTCCGGTTTTCTGGGTTTTGTTTGTTTGTTTGTTGAGGGCTTTCTTCTGCTTTCTTCATTTGGGATTTTTTTTTTTTTTAACTGCTTTTGGTAATTTTCACATAATTCTCTGTTGAAATTGGTATATTTTGCTTTGGGTTTGTTTGGCCTGATTTCTGACACAACCATGCTAAATCCTATTGCATTGGGGACTACAGAGAGCTAGGATAGAGCTGTACAGAGCAGCTCTCTATAATAATTTTGAAGAGGGACCCATGCACCACTAAAGAGTCAAAGACTGTTTGTTCCAAAAGGCAGTCATTTATCATATCCAAAAATGTGATCTCTACATCTCTTTTTGGTGAGGCATCTATCTAGTCTCTATGTGGCTTCTCTAACCTCACATAACTTCCAGCTCTTCAAGGAGATAGTCAGAAGGACTCCCTGGGAAACGGTCCTCAGGGACAGGGGAACAGAACAGAGCTGGCAGGTCTTTAAGGATGCATTCCACAGAGCACAAGAGCTCTCGATCCCCAAGTGCAAGAAGTCAGGCAGAGAAGGGAAGAGACCGGCATGGCTGAGGCAAGAGATGCTGGTCAAACGAAGGAAGAAGAGGGAACTGCACAGGCAGTGGAAGCAGGGACTGGCTTCCTGGGAAGAGTATAGGGAAGCTGCCCGGTTGTGTAGGGATGGGGTCAGGAAGGCCAAGGCACAGCTGGAGCTGAACTTGGCAAGGGATGTGAAAAATAACAAGAAGGGCTTCTACAGATATGTCAGCCGGAAAAAGATGGTCAAAGAAAGCGTACCCCAGCTCATGAGCGAGACCGACAAACTGGCAACAGCAGATGAGGAGAAAGCTGAGGTACTCAACAATTTTTTTGCCTCAGTCTTCACTGGCAACCTCTCTCCTCACCCCTCCCGAGTCGATGAATGGCATAAAGGAGACCAGGAGGGTAAAATCCCTCCAGCTGTAAGTGAAGACCAGATTTGGGACCTCCTGCAGAACCTAAACCTACAGAAGTCCATGGGACCTGATGAAATGCATCCCAGAGTCCTGAGGGAACTGGCTGACGTAGCTGCCAAGCCACC